ACAGACTGCAGCGGCAAGTGCTGTTAGCTAGCACCTCACACACAGACACAGACAAAGATCCCCAGAGTAGCCTAGCAGACGGCAGCGGCAAGTGCTGTTAGCTAGCACCTCACACACAGACACAGACAAAGATCCCCAGTGTAGCCTCTAACAGACTGCAGGGGCAAGTGCTGTTAGCTAGCGCCTCACACACAGATACAGACAAATATACCCCGTTTAGCCTCTAACAGACTGCAGGGGAAAGTGCTGTTAGCTAGCACCTCACACACAGACAAATATCCCCCGTGTAGCCTCTAACAGACTGCAGGGGCAAGTGCTGTTAGCTAGCACCTCACACACAGACAAAGATCCCCCGTGTAGCCTCTAATAGACTGCAGGGGCAAGTGCTGTTAGCGCGCACCTCACACACAGACACAGACAAAGATCCCCCGTGTAGACTCTAATAGACTGCAGGGGCAAGTGCTGTTAGCTCGCACCTCACACACAGACACAGATCCCCCGTGTAGCCTCTAACAGACTGCAGGGGCAAGTGCTGTTAGCTAGCACCTCACACACTGAGACAGACAAAGATCCCCCGTGTAGCCTCTAACAGACTGCAGGGGCAAGTGCTGTTAGCTAGCACCTCACACACAGACACAGACAAAGATCCCCCGTGTAGCCTCTAACAGACTGTTGGGGCAAGTGCTGTTAGCGAGCACCTCACACACAGACACAGACAAAGATCCCCCGTGTAGCCTCTAACAGACTGCAGGGGCAAGTGTTGTTAGCTAGCACCTCACACAGACAAAGATCCCCCGTGTAGCCTCTAACAGACTGCAGAGGCAAGTGCTGTTAGCTAGCACCTCACACACAGACACAAAGATCCCCCGTGTAGCCTCTAACAGGCTGCAGGGGCAAGTGCTGTTAGCTGGCACCTCACACACAGACACAGACAAAGATCCCCCGTGTAGCCTCTAACAGACTGGAGGGGAAAGTGCCGTTAGCTAGCACCTCACACACAGACACAGACAAAGATCCCCCGTGTAGCCTCTAACAGACTGTTGGGGCAAGTGCTATTAGCGAGCACCTATGAAGGCTACCGGCACTGTGGCACACGAGGGGGTGGGTGGCCAGCACCACGCCCGGCCGCCTTTGTCTCCCCAGTGGCGATGTTTACACACCGCTACACCGCACCAGGCACTCAATTTGAGGCCGAGTCGACCTAAATGAGGAGGCGTCGGGAGCGGTTCAGATAATTGCTGTTATCACTGATGGTGGTGGTAGTGGCGGTGGTGGCGGCGGTGGTGGTGGCAGTGGTTGTAGTGGTGGTAGTGGTGAGTTGTGGTGGTGAGTTGTGGTGGCGGGAATCGAAATTGCCACGATTATACACTACACTATACTTGTAAATCTTGGAGCGGGTTTTACCCTCCAACACACACAGCCGGCGTCGTGCTGAACTCGTACAACGACACTCTACACTACACACACTATAATTGTAAATCTTGGCGTCGTGCTGAACTAGTGACGACTCGACCCCCCCCACGTTTTGTTGACGTGACGCAAACAAACTCCTAAACCGCGATTGGGCTGAGTCGGCTGATCGGTGGCCGGTTTAACGGCACACACACACGCACACACATTAACACGCACGCACGCAACAACAAAGATCCCCCGTGTAGCCTTAACAAACTGTTGGGGCAAGTGCTGTTAGCGAGCACCTATGAAGGCCGGAACGGTACACGGGGGGGGGGGGGGGGGTAGGTGGCCAGCATCCACGCCCGACCGCCTTTGTCTCCCTAGTGGCAATGTTTACACATCGCACCAGGTAATCATTTGAGGCTGAGTCGACCTAGGGGAGGCCCGGGACCGGTTCAGATAATCGTCACTGGGTGGTGTTGGCCGTGAGCAGGAATCGAACCCGGGTCGACAGGTTCATAGCGCAGCGTAGCGCTAACCGCTACACTACCGCTCCCTACACACACACGCACATTAACACACACACACACGCGCATTAACACACACACATATGCACGCGCACGCACACATGCACACACACATTAACACACACACATATGCACGCGCACGCACACACATTAACACACACACATGCACACACACACACTAGCACACGCACATTAACACACACATGCGCACACACGCGTTCATATTTATGCGCTCTATAACCCCGTGAAAGCGACTTCGTCAAGGACAACATTGGACGTGAAAGGCCCCATCCGCTCTTCATTGGCCACGCGCTAAACCGAAGCAGGTTGCGCTTGCCCCGGGGGTTTCGCATGGGGCGCGGGGCGCGCTAACCGTTGCGCCACCGCTCCTGCCACAGCCGCACAGCGAACGATGATGACAATGAACTCCTTAAAAAATAGTTTAAAATAAAAACAAAACACAACGATAGGTTTTTATTATTAACAACTTCGTTTAACCCGCGGCCTAAAAGTGCGTCAACGGTGCGTCGCCTGCTCCCACGTCAACACTTAGCTTGAATTAATTGATTACTTCATCAATTAATCTTCAACGTGCGACTTTTGTTTGCGTGGTGGAGTTGAGGGTGCCCGTAACTCGTTCACACGTGGCGCCTGCTTCTTGGGCGTCGTTTTTTTTTTTGACCTACGCAAATATACAGGTAGTCCCCGACTTACGATGGAAATGCGTACGTCGAAAATATCGTAAGTCGGGGACTACCTGTGTATATAAGTAATAGGGCGTCCATACAAAATGTCAATTGCTTTAAAGTAGCGAAATAATTGATTAATTAATGCCGATTTTGACGCAGGCACGCATTGCCACGGGATCTGAGTACGTGTGCGAAACTTGGCATTGATTTGACAGCGTGAAGTGGACGAAATGTAGATTACAAGATTTGACCACGACACAGGAATCAAGTTAAGTATAAAACCGTTGAATAAAATCGTTGAATATGTAAAAATATATTAAAAGAAAAACTTTTTTAAAAAACACGCTTTTTTATTTTTGTCATGATAGAATATAGCATTGTCATCAGTGTGACATAACTATACCGAGTTTAAATTTCGATTTAAAGCTTTCGCGACTGCAGGGATTCATCTTCTTGGTTCTTTCGGTAAAGTCACGTAGAAGGGAAATAATAAAATAATAAAAAACCAAAACATTATATAATAAAATTATCACGACGTTTCGGCCACAACACAAGCAGCCTTCCTCAGGTGAAGGAACAGAACTGTCGGGAAGACGGCGCTCCAATGAACACCGCTAAGCTTGGCAGCGTCTTTTAAGCTGGGTGGGAGGAGCAGAGCGCCTTGACAAATGGAGTTTACACATCAACAGATGAATTTAGCATTGAAGTAGCTGTGTTGATGTGAGAGATTAGCAGGATGTTTGCAGTCGATACCACATTGGGAAGTGGGTTAAAATTGAGTCACATGATTTGAGGATACAACGACAACAATAGACAGAGTGGGTTCAATGAAAGCGTGTAATAATAATGTAATAATGTTAGAATAATAATAAAAAGGGGGGTCTCGGGCTGCCAACACGAGCACGCGCGTCACGTGGCATGTCCGTCATCCCGCCCCCCACTCCGTTCCACCCCGTGCCTTGGGTAGCCACTCACTTATCCGCACCCACCCACTCTGTCTCACCATGACCACCATCATCATCACCATCATCATCACCACCACCAACCCATCCACGTTGTCTCCCCTCCTCCACCACCATCATCATCATCACCAACACATCCACCAACACATCCATCCTGTCTCCCCTCCTCCATCACCACTACCACCATCATCGTCATCACTAACACAAAGAGGGAATGGCACCTGTAAGCCGAAATCACGTGCAGGTGAAGTGCTTAGATATTACAGTTACAGGTGTGTGTGTGTAGCAGTGTGTGTCTTTGTATCAGTGTGTGTGTGTATCAGTGTGTGTGTACACACACTGATACACACACACAGGTGTGCACACACACAAAGATAAACAAAGATCCCCCATATAGCCTTAACAGACTGTAGGGGCAAGTGCTGTTAGCGAGCACCTATGAAGGCCGGAACGGTACACGAGGGGGTGGGTGGCCAGCACCACGCCCGACCGCCTTTGTCTCCCTAGTGGCAATGTTTACACACCGCACCAGGTACTCATTTGAGGCTGAGTCGACCTAGGGGAGGCCCGGGACCAGTTCAGATAATCGTCACTGGTGTTGGCCGTGAGCGGGAATCGAACCCGGGTCGCCAGGTTCATAGCGCAGCGCAGCGCGCTAACCGCTACACTATCGCTCCCCACACACACACACACAGGTGTGCACACACACACACACACAGGTGCGCACACACACACACACAGGTGTGCACACACACACAGGTGTGCACACACACACAGGTGTGCACACACACACACACAGGTGTGCACACACACACACAGACAGGTGTGCACACACACACACAGACAGGTGTGCACACACACACAGGTGTGCACACACACACACACACAGGTGCGCACACACACACACACAGGTGTGCACACACACACACAGGTGTGCACACACACACACACAGGTGTGCACACACACACACAGGTGTGCACACACACACACAGGTGTGCACACACACACACACAGGTGCGCACACACACACACACAGGTGCGCACACACACACACACACAGGTGCGCACACACACACACACACAGGTGCGCACACACACACACAGGTGTGCACACACACACACACACAGGTGTGCACACACACACACACAGGTGTGCACACACACACACAGGTGTGCACACACAGGTGTGCACACACACAGGTGTGCACACACACACACAGGTGTGCACACACACACACAGGTGTGCACACACACACACAGGTGTGCACACACACACACAGGTGTGCACACACACACACAGGTGTGCACACACACACACACAGGTGTGTGGGTGGTGTTGGTTGGGTGGGTGGTGGTACTAACGTCGGAGGAACGAGGAAGCTGAGTTGAAGACGAGGACCTCCCCCTCCCCTCCCCAACACGACGAGTCGAGAAGGCGCGACCCAACTCAGAGGCGAGAAGTCGAGGAAGACGACAGCGGCGAGCGACCTTCCATCATTTTCATTCTCCCATAGCCTTATCCACGCCGTCTCCCTCCTCCCTACCCCTTCCTCTCCCCAAGGTCCCCCCACAGTCTTTAGACAGACCCCCCCCCCTCCCTACACTTCACACACACAAACACACAACCTTCAACCATGGTGGCTACCTGTGGAACCCGATCAACACCTGGGCTTTGGCTGCGCGCGGCGAAGGCGGTGGTGATGCTGACGCTGGTGACGGTGAGAGACGATGGGGCTCGTGGGTTAGGCGTTGTCGGGATCTGTGGTTCAGGCTTTGGGTTTAAGATTAAGGGTGTGTGTGTGTGTGTGCGCGTATGTTTGTTGAACTTCCTTCGCACCGTACGTAGCGGTGGTGGTAGCGGTCTAGCGGTAGCGGTCTAGCGCTGTGCTGCGCTACGAACCCGGCTGTGACCCGAGTTCGATTCCCGCTCGCGGCCAACACCGGCAGTGACGATTATCTGAACCGGTTCTGGGCCTCCCCTAGGTCGACTCGGCATCAAATGAGTACCTGGAGCGGTGTGTAGTGAACATCGCCATTGGGGGAGAGACAAAGGCGGCCGGGCGTTGTGTTGGCCACCTACCCCCTCTCTGTGTGTGCCACGGTGCCGGTAGCCTCCATTGGTGATCGCAAACAGCACTTGCCCAACAATAGCTTGTTAGAGGCTACACGGGGGATCTTTGTCTCTGTTGAACATCTTTCGCACCGGACGTGGCCAGCCGGCGCTCATCGAAGACGTGGGGATATTGGTCATGGAGGTCGGGATCTATACGGTTGTGATTTAGGATCACAGATTCGGGGATAAGGGGGTTAAATACTTCAGTTTCGGAGATGAGGGTCCAGGGATGGGGTTAGAGGTTAGACGATAGCAGTTCGGGGTTATGGGTTTAGGCATAGCGGTTCAATGTTATACGTTTAGGGATAGGAGCTCAAGGTCAGGGGTTTCAGACATATGGGCTCAGGGATGGGTGTTCAGTGGTTGGGGATAAGCGATAAGGATTCAGGGTTATGGGTTCCATATTTGGGATTTAGCGATAATGACTAAAAGGGTTATGGGTTCAGAGATAGTGGTTCAGAGTTAGGGGCTGAGTGGCGATACGCTTGTTGTGTTGCGCCCGCAACGTCGTGATTTATTGCATTTTATAACTACTCCTTGATGACTTTACCGAAAGAGCCGAGGAGTATGGATTCCTGCAGTCACGAAAGCTTCAAATCAAGATTAAGTGGTGAGAGTTTACGGATAGGGGATCACGAAAAAGTGATTCGATCATAGCGGCTCGTGTATAGGCGTTCAATGTTTTAGGCATTCAAACATAACAGGCTAAAGGGACAAATGTTATGGATTTGCGTTCTGGGCGCCACGTTGTCTAGGAGATATTAACTACCTCGCCTGGTATGCAGGAGGTCGTGGGTTCGATCTCGAACCCTGACGCCTGCTGCTGCTGCTGTATATTTGGAGTCTGCGTCTCTCTACCCCCCCCCCCCCCCCCCGTGGCTGCATGGATTTTTCTCAGGGTCCTCCGGTTTCCCCCTCCGCATTCGGAATCAACGTCACGCGGTTTAGACGATTCGGTTGCTCTAAATGCCCACACGACGGCGATGAGCCACTTCGTTGAGCTATCATGCGCGATGGCCAATTTTGTTTTTGAATGTTTTTCATGTCGATTTTATTTTTACCTACGCGACTTCACCGAAATAACCAAAGAGTATGGCCAGGTCTGCTTCTGGGGCCTTAACCTGGCAATATACCAAAGAGCATGGGTTCACAGCCGCGGGTCAAGTCGTCGAGGCGAGGTCATGAGGTCGGGCTTACAGCGTCCGCTGTTAAATCCTGGCCAGGGTTCGACAGGCAGAAATTTCCCCTCCGAGGTCTATAAACAGGGACTACTTTTGTGGGCATTCAATTTGCGGGTGCCGCGATGGCGAGGCGATGTTGCCTCCCCTCTGTGGTTCTTTCGGAAAAGTCACGTGGATAGAGAAAAACAATAATAATAATAAAAGGAAAACACGACGTTTCGGTCGCAGCACGAGCGGCCGTCTTCAAGTGAAGACGTTTCGGTCGCGTTATCTATGGTTCAAATCAAGATTGAGATGTTATCTCCCTCGCCTGTTACGCAGGAGGCCACGCAGTTCAATCCTGGTCCCTGGCGATGCCTGTTGCACGTTCGGAGTTCGCGTGATCGCGTTGCCTGCGGTGGTCGTGTGGTTTTTTTTCTCTGGGTTCCGTCGGGGGTTTTATTCCCCCTCCCCTCCGCATTTGAAACCGAAATGATTTAGCTGTGTAGTGTATAGTGTAGTGTATAGTGGAGTGTATAGTGGAGTGTATAGTGGAGTGTATAGTGTAGTGTATAGTGTAGTGTATAGTGTAGTGCATAGTAGTGTATAGTGTAGTGTATAGTGTAGTGTATAGTGTAGTGTATAGTAGTGTATAGTGTAGTGTATAGTGTAGTGTATAGTAGTGTGTAGTGTAGTGTATAGTGTAGTGTATAGTAGTGTATAGTGTAGTGTATAGTGTAGTGTATAGTGTATAGTAGTGTATAGGATGAACGTTGAGATTTATAGGGGCACGGGGTGACCAACAAGGTCTGAATTGGGTCTGTAATAAGGTAGGGCACTGATAAGGGGTTGACAGGTATGTAGTAGTGTATAGTGTAGTGTATAATCGAGTATAGTAGTGTATAGTGTAGTGTATAGTAGTGTATAGTGTAGTGTATAGAAGTGTATAGTGTAGTGTATAGTAGTGTATAGTGTAGTGTACAGTGTAGTGTACAGTGTAGTAGTTTAGTGTATAGTGTAGTGTATACTAGTGTAGAGTGTAGTGTATAGTAGTGTATAGTGTAGTGTATAGTGTAGTGTATAGTGTGGTCTATAGTGTATAATAGTGTATAGTAGTGTGTATAGTGTAGTGTATAATAGTGTATAGTAGTGTGTATTAGTGTGTATTAGTGTATCGTGTAGTGTATAGTAGTGTATAGTGTAGTGTATAGTAGTGTATAGTATAGTGTATAGTGTAGTGTATAGTGTAGTGTATAAACCAAAATGCGTTCATATCGTCGAGATGATTTGGCTGCCACTTTAAATTCCCACGTGTGATGGTGACACCATCCACTATTGATGAGCTATCATCAGGTGGTGTGGGCAGGTCGCCTCTGAGCAAGAGCTCATAGCTCAGTGGGCTTCATCTGGTAAATAATAACAGAGTTTACATTTAGTGTTAAGTTTATGGGCAGTGTTAAGTTTACGAGGCAGTGTTATAATTTTACGTACAATGCTCCTTCTGTGGACAGCAATGCTGAGATCTCATGGCAATGTTAAGTCTATGGGCAATACTTCGATTATTTGGCTGCTCCTATGATTATTATATGAGCCACTTCGGTAAGCTGCCATCGCACGTGGCCAGGTTTGCTGGCTCTGTGTGAGCTTCGCGGGGTGAGTGATAAAGTAGTTCACTTCAATTGGCTATTGTTTTTTGCGGAGAAACGAAACGAGGGCTTGGTAATGTTGACGTCCTGTTTCTTTCCAGATCCTTCCCCAAATCTGTGTTTAGACTCGGCCTCATCTTGATTTGGGCATCATGCCCGCAAGGCTGGGCTATGGCATTGCCATCCAGTGCACAGACGATTCCACGCGTTTGATGTTTGACCTATGAGGTCGCTTAGATGTGAACTACCTCGCCTGGTATACAGGAGGTCGTGAGTTCGACCCCGACCCTGATGCCTGTTGTATAATTGGAGTTTGCGTGTCTCTCTGTCCCCGTGGTCGCGTGGATTTTTCTCCGGGTCCTCTGGGTTTTCCCCTCCACATTTAAAAATCAACGAAAAGGCGTTTCGAGCATTTGGCTGCTATACATTTCCACGTGACGACGACGACGACGCCATAAGCCACTTCGTTGAGCTATCGTTTGCGATAGCCAGCGTCGCTTCTGAAAATAAAAGAGCTACATCGCTTATTTGGAGTCTTACACCTGGTGACGTAAAATTTTATTTTTATTTAAAGCTTTCCTCACTGCAGGGATTCATGTTCTTGATTTTTTCGGTAAAGTCACCACGTGGAAGGGAAACGATAAAATGATAAAAAATATAAAACAATAAAATTCTCACGACGTTTCGACCGATGATTGCTTGCGTTGCAGTCGAAACGTCGTGAGAATTTTATTGTTTTATATTTTTTATTATTTTATTGTTTCCCTTCTAACGTGGTGGTTTTCACACCTGATGATGACTGCTTGTGTTGCAGTCGAAAAGTCGTGAGAATTTTATTGTTTTATATTTTTTATTATTTTATTGTTTCCCTTCTAACGTGGTGGTTTTCACACCTGATGATGATTGCTTGTGTTGCAGTCGAAACGTCGTGAGAATTTTATTGTTTTATATTTTTATTATTTTATTGTTTCCCTTCTAAAATTTTCTTGCTGTGGTTTTCACACACCTGATGATGATTGCTTGCGTTGCAGTCGAAACGTCGTGAGAATTTTATTGTTTTATATTTTTATTTATTTTATTGTTTCCCTTCTAACGTGGTGGTGGCTTTACCGAAAGAACCGAGAATATCAAATAAAATAGTTGAATGATAAAGGTAAGACGTGCGTAGGCCTCCGTTGGAGGGAGGCAGCCCTCTGGTCTACTCTTCCTCCACACTGCCCAGGCAGGCGTCGTGGGAGACGATCAAACAAGGTCTCACGCCGGAGGCATGGAGATGCTCAAAGACGGCAATAAAAGATGGTCAAAGGTCCATGCGGGCGTACAAACGTTCAAAATACGGGCCAAACACGTTTTGTGTCTATTTGTGTTTCTCCCTTGTGATGATGAAGACTTTGTCAGATAATCGTTGAGATTTATAAGGGGCACGGGGTGAACCAATTAGATCTGCATTGGTCTGTCAGAAGGTAGACACCGATAAGGGATTGACAGGTGTGTAGTATCTTCTTTGGTTCTTTCGGTAAAGTCACGTAGAATGAGAATAAAATAATAAATTGATAAAATAAAATAACACAATAATATTCTCACGACGTTTCGGCCACAACACAAGCGGCCTTCATCAGGTGCGATTTAAAGCTTTTGTGACTGCAAGGATTCATCTTCTTTGGTTCTTTCGGTAAAGTCACGTGTGTAGTAGTGCAGAGTATAGTGTAGTGTACAGTGCGGTTTATAGTAGTGTACAGTGTCGTGTATAGGATGAACAGTGAGATGTATTTATACCCCCCCCTCCCACCTCTGCTCTC